CCCGCCCCTCGGCCCGGCCCCTGCCCCGCCGCGCCGCGCACTCCGCCCCGGAGGCGGGTCAGGGGAAATACCTTCCTGGGGACTTTTGGTACCCGAGCAAGTGAGTGCGCTGCCTACGCGTTCCCAGAACCCTGGCGTCCAGTCCCGCCAACCTCGCCGGCCTCCCCACCCTCTGCGCCCCGGGACCCGGGCGCTCGGGGGACCCGAGTCTTGTCTCTGCTGTCCCCAACCAGGGACCCCAGCGGGCCATGCACCCGCGGGAGCTGCTCGGGCAGGGCAGACAGTGTCTGCACAAAGGGAGGCACTCCACTTCCCTTAAAGTGGGAACCCACAGTCAACTTACACGCCTTGGGGTCCCTAGGAGGAGGTGCGGTGGAGCCAGGCGTCGGGAGAGAGGAAGAGGAGCACAGAGGCAGAGGGAGGTCCGGAGGGAGGAGGGAAGAGGCAGCCCGGGAGGAGGGACGGGGACGCAGACGGGGGCCAGGCGGGGGCGGCGACCGCTTTGTCTACGGACAATGGGGCGAGGGAAGGGGGCGCAGGGCGGAGCCCGGCGCAGGGCGGGGCTTCGCCGCCCTGCTTCCCGCGTGGGACCCTGCGGTGGCACTCCCCTCCTGCAGTGGGGCAGCCCACAGCTCTTCGTTCTGTCTCCAGAGGCCCTCACCCACTTCCTCTGGCAGCCCTGGAGAAGCTGGGTGTCCAGACCTCTTGCTCCAGCTGGCCGACCCGGGGCGTCGGCCCGTGACTCAGGCCCCCTGAGGGACACGGGGAGGAAGCGGCAGCTGCTTGGAGTCGGACCCGCCCTTCCCATCGCTCGCCGCTCCTCCCCGTGCTTTTTGCTCTCCTTGGCCAGTCTTTGTTACCGTGGTGGTGTGGGCGGCTGCCAGGCCCCAAAGTCTGAGGCAAATGGCTTTGGGAGTTTGCTCTCCTCCCAGAGATTTACTCTTGTCTCCCACGGGTTGCCTGATCTATAGGCGGAGAAATTGTAATATTTGGAGGGAGCAGGACTGGGTGACTGGGAGATGGGGGCGGGCCCTTGGGGTGTGGCCCCAGCCCAGCGGGCGTCACAGTGCTTGGCTGCTCCTACAAGAACTTGCTCGGCCTCGGCTTCTTTCCCACACTTGGTCCTGCGGCTTGAGAGACAGGGACAGACAACTGAACACCATATGTAAAAAATTTTTTTTTTATTTTTATGCAGCGCATACCCTTTGGGAGAGCAGGGAGCCCTGAGTCAGCCCGAGTTAAAAACAGAAAACAAAAAAACGAGAGACATCGCTGTAGAAGACCCAATTAAAAAACTGGAGACAACAAGGAGCTGTAAGGCAGGGATGGGGGGAAATGCACAACCGCGGTGCAGAGGAGATAGCCAACTACCTGCAAACTTGCAGACTGGCCTTGACATAGCTCCCTGAAGTGGAAGCTAGGAAGGGGAATCCCTGAGGTGTAGAGCCAGTAACAATGCCAGGGCAGTGAGTGCTCAAGGCAGGACCCTTAGCCTCTGTGTGTGCGTATGGGAAGCCCCAAGAGATGAGATTCGTGTGTGAGTGTCACACCCCAAGAGTTGAGATGAGATTCATGACTATCCACTCTTGGTTGGTGAGAAGTGGCTGAAACTCTAAATTTAGAGTAGGGGTCCTGGACCCTGGACCTGAGGTCTCAAGCAGGGCGGGGGGGGGGGGGGGGGGGGGGATGGCCCCTTCAGCATAAGGTTTCCAGCCTCTGGTCTGGAGCAAACAACAGGGCCTGGATTAAGGGGTTTTGATTTTGAGATAGCTCAACGGCTGGCCGATAGCTCCTCATTCTGCTTCCCCATCCTGGGGTCTGGAGAGGAGCTGGAGTTTTCTTTGTAATTGGGACCGAAGGTAGCGGAGATCTTGCTGGTCGAGCCCGTGAGCCAAGCCAAGGTAGAGGGTAAGGAGAAGAGCCAGGAGGAGGCGATCCGTGCCCAACGTGGGGACCACCCATAGCACTGTCAGAAGTTCCACACATACTGGGTGTCGAAGGTGGGAAAAGAGCCTCAGGGCCCGAGGAGACTTCAGGGCCAGAGGTTCACCCAGCCCCAGTACGTGGTAATATACCTAGGAGAGAGATTACAGCATGGAAATCAAGCTCTCTTTCTTAGCTGACTCTGACCTCTTCCTGGCACCACCTTGTTAGAAATCAGGCCCAGGACCCTTTTTGAGACTCTACCCCAACCTGTCTCTGGTCCAGGCGTCATGCTCAAGCCCAAAGACCTATAGTTATTGGTCTCTGAAGGAAAGCTGAAGGAAGACAGACAATCATAAAAGGGACCAGAAAGCCGAGAGGAGTTGTCGGGAGGGTACGGGAGGGAGAGGATTGTGGACATAGGTCTCAGGCAGGGATGTGGGATCCTCACCTGTTTGAGGCCCATGAGTTCAGCGTAGTCAAACACCAGTAGGATGCTGAAGATGAGGAGCCAGGAAACGACATGGAGCACAAAGCAGAGGAGGGGCACCCAGGTGGCCCACGGTTCAGCCCGAGCCTCCCACAACACAGGGCCTCTGGGTACAGTCTCCCAGTACCGCATCACCAGCTGGGGAAAGACGAGACACTAGGCATGCCAGTGGTCTCCCTTGCCCCATGGTAACCTACAACTCTTTCCCCCAGGTATGAAGTATTTACCATGCGGAGGGTTCTGGATCGGGTACTGAGGATATGAAGACAACCCATTTCTACACAGGATTTACAGAATGTTTGGGATGGGGGCTGGTGGATATCCACCAGACTAGCCTATGGCAAACATCCAGTGAGAAGACTAAGCTGAAGGCGTCTTCTCTTGAGACAAGATAGGAACTAAGGAGAAATTAAGATCTCAAGCAAGGCCGGGTGACATGCTATTTAGTTGATTCATAAAACCTGGATCAGGGTTCTTGATTAGATACAGAGTTTTGCTCTTAAAAAGTAGGCTATCTTAAGAAATGTTCCCATACTAAAATGTAATGACATAGTTACCTTGATTAATGAGAAATCAGAACCTTTATTATATATATATATATACACACACAAAATGTCTGAAGCAAAACAACATGAACGAAGTTGCAAGGGTGAGGGCCCTCATACTGTACTGGGACATGTCAAAAACAGAACTTTGCTGACAGAATGGAATATACGCTCTGGGAGAATGGAAGCTGAGATGAGCATCCTCTGTTTCTTATGCACTCATCTTGTCCCTCCAGTGTAAGCACACCATGCATGTCCCTTGGCAATGCCTCATACCTGCAAGGCCAGGGCAGTGCATGCCACATACAGTGACCTCTGAAGGACTCCAAAGTACCGGGATGTCCATGTCTTCACTGTCTCAGTTGCCATGAGGCTGTGTTGCACCACAAACAATAGCAGAAGGCCCAGATCCCAGGCCAGGGAAGTCAGAATGCTTCGGTCCTGCAAGGCAGCCAACCACCCATAGCGGGCCTCTGGGGGGTGGGGGTGGGGGAGAAAGGGACAAAGGGACAGTTGAAGTGACTAGAACATTCCCCTTACCCTCATCTTTTTTGGGGGGAGGGTTTCGAGTCAGGGTTTCTCTGTGGCTTTGGAGCCTGTCCTGGAACTAGCTCTTGTAGACCAGGCTGGTCTCCAACTCAGACAGATCTGCCTGCCTCTGCCTCCCGAGTGCTGGGACTAAAGGCGTGCACCATCACCGCCCGGCTACCCTCATCTTCTTTTGGAGTCCTATACCATGTCCCCGATGCTTTCAGGATCTTGTCAAAGCCATACCCAGTTCGATTTCCTGTTCTTTCCATCTTCCCTGGTTTCCTTCTGGGGAAGAAGGCTCTCAGGAGAATGCAGGCAGGGGCCGTTATTAAAGCCACCGTGGGAGGGCTGGGGAGGTGGCTCAGTCCATTAGTGCACTGAATTCTACCCTCAGGACCCCTACAAAAAGCCCAGCACGGCGGTGTGTGGTGGTAATCTCAATGCTGGGGAGGCAGCGGGCAGGAGGATCAGCAGAGGGGCCTGTGCCATCGCTCAGTGGTTAAGAGCACCGGCTGCTCTTCAAAAGGACCTGGTTTGTTTGGTTCTCTGCACCCACATGGCGGCTCACAGCCATCTATAACCCCAGTTCTAGGAGATCCGTCTGACATAGTTGGCAGGCCTCTGATTTCAACGACAGACTGTCCCCAAAATACTTAGGAGGCAGAGGTAGATGGACCAATGAGTTCCAAGCCAGCTTGGGGTAAATAGCAAGTACCTGTCTAAAAACAAAAAAGTGGCTAGTTCCTGCAGACAGATCAAGACTGGCCTTCAGCTGCGCCTGCACACACAGAAACAAACACAAGCACACATTCCTCATTATTCACACTCACACACAGCAAGGCTGGGGAAGTCATCTTTGGTGTGGCTTTTTTTGTTGTTTTTGAGACAGGGTCTCTCTCTACATACATAACCCTTACTCAGCAGACCAGGCTGGCCTTGAACGCGGAGATGGGCTTGTCTCTGCCTCTCCGGTGCTAGGATCAAAGGCGTGCGCCACCATGGCCCGCTTCGCGGTCTCCTAATGTTTCCTCTTTTTACCTTTCCCCTGTCCCTAGTTCTCCCCACGAAAGCCTACCCCCACCCCTGCATACCCTGTCAGCCCTCACTCCCCAGCTTCTGCACCGGGCTAATCTTGGAGTTTCTGATTTAGCCTTCTGTTCCCTTCCCTGCGGCGCCTGGCAGCTTTGGCGTTTCCCTGTCATTTGTTTCCGCGCCCCGCCCTCTCCACGCTGCTCTGGCTCCTCCTCTCCGCTTCAGCTCGCCCTGGATCCCTGCGGCTCACCCGGACCGCCGGACTCCGGGATCCCTCCAAGCAGCGGCCGCAGGGAGGTGAAACGCACGAACTCCACTCCGGTGCCAAAGGCCAGGATGAAGGAGGCGAGGGCCGCCGAGACCAGCAGCAGCGCCGGGGCCATGGCGAGCGGTAAGCAGCTTGCCGAGGAGGCGGACCCGGGGTTCCCGCGGCTTCTAGCCCCGCCCAGGTCCCGCCTCCGTGGGGTGCTGGCCAGAGGGCGGGGACCGCGAGCCGCGGGTCCGGGCGCGGAGCCTGGAACCCCAGGCGTCGTCACGGCAGCGGCTCTGCAGCCACGCGCGTGGGTCGAATCTTAGTGCGGCCAGTGTTCTCATGGAAAGTGAGGACAGAGCCTCCCTTGCGTGGAAACAAGAAGAACGTCCTGTTTTTTTTTTACAATAGCCACTCCTTATCCTCCAGTCTCAGTCCCTGGTGTGTGGGGTTACACGCGGTGCCGCCACGCCCCACGATGGTTCCTGCCTGTAATTCTAGTACTCTGAAGGCCGAGGCAGCAGGATTGAAGTTAGCTTCGACTGCACATGGAGACGCAGTCCGAAAGAGGCATAAAAAATGAAAAAGACCATGTGGTGAAAGGGTCAGTCCGTAGCTATCCTAGTACAGGTTCCTCAGTTTTCAGATAGAACAAGGTCATTGAGATAAAAATGCCCCACACAAGCAAAGGCAAGGCCCTCAGGCTGAGCGATAGGGGACCGTCTAGGAGCACCCACGCTGGATGCTCCCTCTGCTGCGGGGCCAGGCTGCCTTGCGTTGCTAACACATTTCCTCCCCAGCCTGCTCTCTGCTTGGGAAATTTGTACTGAGTGGGCTGCGTCCGAGAATATCAGTGTCTTTGGGGAAGTTCCCTCTGCATACTGCTCTCTCCACTTTTTAAATGGCAGAATCTTCATGTAGTCAGGACTGGCATTGAACTTGCTAGTATGTAGCTGAGAATGGTCTTGAATTGATCCTCCTCCCTCTGCCTCCAAGTGCTGGTATTACAGTATAACACCATAGTCTGGCTCCACCGTTTTAGGGGCTCTGAAGAGCTTGTAGGTGGGAAACAAGGGCTGCACTAAGCTTTGTGGTTTCTCTTTACCCAGCTTCATCCTTAAACATATTCATAATCCAAGTCCTAGGAAGGCAGATGCTTAGGGCTCACCTGCCGGCCAGCCAGCCTAGCCTAATTAGGGAGCCCCATGTCCCAGTGAGATACCCTGTCTCAAGGAAAACAAAGTGGACTCCTGAAGAAGGACACCCAAGGCCGACTTCTGGCTTACCCAGGCACCAAATTAACAGAGGTCTGGGGCTACAGTTTAATGTGAAGTATTTATTTGAGTAGCATTGCTGAATCCCCAACACCCTCAAAAGTAAAATCCATAGAGGCACAGCATACGGCAGGGGTGTGAACAGGCCGACTTTGATGCCCTCACCTGGAGAGGGCAACTAGGTGACATATACAACACCAGAGTAGTTCTGGAAGCATTGCAGAAAAGTATACAAAGTAGCAACTATATTTTTATTGAAATGAAATTCACATAAAAAAGAGACATTTAGCACAGTAGCATTTAATATTCTGCACTATGTACAACCTCTTTCTTTCTGGCTCCAATACTCTCAACTTCTCACAATGAAACGCTAGACTCCTTGAGCAGCACCCCTGTCCTCAGAGTCTGGGATGCACTGATCTGTTTTTTTTTTTTTTTAAAGAGTTTATTATGTATACAACATTCTGCCCCCATGTATGCCTGCACACCAGAAGAGGGCACCAGATCTCATTACAGATGGTTGTGAGCCACCATGTGGTTGCTGGGAATTGAACTCAGGACCTCTGGAAGAGCAGTCAGTGCTCTTAACCTCAGAGCCATATTTCCAGCCCAACACTGATCTATTCTTACCTTCATGAATTCACCCATTCTGGATCTATCTCAGGCAGATGGAATCAAATGTGTCCTCTGTGTCTGGGCCTTTTACTTAGGGTCTTCTTGACACTCGCCCTCAAATACTTCATGTCTGAGCATTCCTTTTTGTGCACACAGCACATTTATATCTTCATCCTTGCTGAACAAACATCTACGGTTTCTGTTGGCTTTTCGAGACAGGGTTTCTCTGTGTAGTCCTGGCTGTCCAGGAATTAGCTCTGTAGACCAGGCTGGTCTTGAACTCAGAGTTTCACCTGCTCTGCCTCCTGAGTGCTGTGGTTACAGTTGTGTGCCACCACTGCCCAGCCGTCTACAGTACTTCTATATTTGGCCATCTTGAAAAGTAATAAGGGGCTGGAATGAGGCTAAGTGGCAAAGTGATTGCCTAGGAAGCATTAAAAAAAAAAAAACATACTTCCCCCCCCCAAAAAAAACATCAAGTGCCTGTTTTTCATTTTTGAGTCTCTTGTAGCTTTAGGCTAGCCTCCAATTTGCTATGTAGCCAAAGCTGACCTTGAACTTCTGATCCCACTTGCCCCTACCTGCACAGCTGGAATTCGAGGCCAAGTGCAGGGGGCAGAGCCATTCTGCTGGGTCATATGGTTATCAGGCAGGCCAGATGACCTACCATAGAGATGATGAAAACTAACCTCGGAAAAACACAAAACAAACAAAACCCTGTTTCTGTTAAGACAGGGTTTTCCTCAGTAACCCATTCTGAACTGGGACTTTTGGCCATCCTGCTTCAGCGTCTACATACTGGGACTATGGGAAATGCTCCTGACCAGCTTTTTACTTATCTTCAAAGGAACTTGCAAACTGTTGACTGCAGAGGCCAAACCAAACACGAGCAGTACCCAAGAGTCCTACTTTCTCCACACCCTAGAAAGTGACCAGCTTTTAAAAACAAATGCGATTTACCGATTTACTCTAAATCGATACTGATAAATGAATGCAAGTTCAAAACGGTCTTATGCCACTCCAGAAATTCACCATTAGGGAGGCTGAGTGAGCAACCGACCCTCCACAGAGATGACCAAAGCTAACAGCAAACACTGGAAAAGCAGGCCATGTGCAGCAAAACTAAAAGCCCTTTCTATCCAGGAGTCACAGACCAGAAAACATCCCATGAGCCACCCTCATCTTCTCAGTCAGGTATGCCTGGGAACTGGTAAGAATCCCGGGAAGACAAGGAAGGGGGCCAAAACCAGGCAGGGTGCTGGGACTGCAACAGCGGCTTAGCCATTGTGGCTGCAGGCTGCTGACTGAACCAGGGCCTTCACCACTGATGACAAGTGCTCTGCCACACCACCACAACCCCAGCTTGGGTTGGCCAATTTAAAAATGGATATCTTAGGGGGGAAAAAAATCCTTTTTCTTTTTCAAAAACTCTTTGGTCTTATACACATTCCCAAAGAAGTTGTATCAATACAATACATCTTAGACCTTGAGGGTTTTTTGTTTTTTATTTTGGTTTTTGAGACAGAATTTCACTAGGTAGCCCTGGCTGGCCTGGAATTCATAAAAATCTGCCTACTTCTGCCTTCCAAGTGCTGACTGAGATAAAAGGTGTGGACCACCTTGTGTAGTCTTAATTGTGTGTGTTCCTTTTTTCAAATATTTTCTAGGAATGTTTGCTGGTCTGAGAGGGTAGAGGTAGATTTTTTTTTTAGGTGGAGAACATTTCCTAATTTGAAAGGACAAAGGCCTCTGGTGTGACTTCCTGCTTTAGCACTCCAGTCAGGAGGAACTCAGGAGAGAGGAGGGGCAGCCCCAGTCGAGATGGGATAGCGCAGCGAGGTAGGTCTTCAGTGCAAGTTATGACAACTCGGTAAGGCTGTAAAGACACAGCAGAGACAGTTAGGAAGGAAGGGCCTGGAACAGGTGCAGGGTCAGAGCCCTAAAAGCTGTCTCAGAACTGAGACTGCATACATTTACAGTATATGTATAGCATGCATGAAGCACACTGCCTATCCTATCAAGTGTCCTTGCCCCGGGTGGTGGTGGTGCACGCCTTTAGTCTCAGCACTCGGGAGGCAGAGGCAGGGGGAAATCTCTGTGAGTTCGAGACCAGCCTGGTCTACAAGAGCAAGTTCCAGGACAGACTCCAAAGCCACAGAGAAACCCTGTCTTGAAAAACAAAACAAAACAAAACAAACAAACAAAAAAAAGGTGGGCTGAACTGTTTGAGTTAACCTTTGGGGCAAGGACACTATTTATTTATTTATTTATTTATTTATTTATAAAGGTGTGTGCCATCACCGCCACCTGGCTCCTCTTGACTCCACCTCCCGGGTGCTGGGATTACAGGTCTTTATTACTGAGTCCAGTTCATGAGTGCTGGGTATCAAACCCAGAGTTGTATATACTAGCTGGGCAAGCAGATGCCATCTGAACTCCATTCCCAGCCCCCATTGCTGCTTTTATAATTACAATTTGCAAGAAACACAGAATATAGTGGGATAAGATAAAAATGATACAAACAAGGGAATACACAGAAAAGCCTGACTGGGGAGTATTACCAGGGACAGCAATCTAGTCTCTGTTGGGAAGTCAGCTTCTATAAAGGCAGGCGGGGTTCGGGTGGGTGGAAGAAAACCAGGTAATATAACAAATATATAGGCTTTTTATTTTGTTTTGTTTTTCAAGACAGGGTTTCTCTGTGGCTTTGGAGGCTGTCCTGAAACTAGCTCTTGTAGACCAGGCTGGTCTTAAACTCACAGAGATCCGCCTGCCTCTGCCTCCTGAGTGCTGGGATTAAAGGTGTGCTCCACCACTGCCCAGCAAATATATAGGCTTTATATGAACTCTGGCTTTTTGGTTTTTAAGAAATGGGAGTTCTTCAATGTTTGGGAGGCAGAGGCAGGGGGGGTCTCTGTGGGTGAAAGGTC